TTCCAACCAATGGCTTTGAAGCTGCACACACAACTCTAAAGGGCCCTTGGCCAGCTGGAACCTGGTGAAATTCCTGATGCAGTTTCTCGCATTTTTTTGCCACAGTGCCTTCACTGATTGCTAATTTTGCATGTCTGCTCCAAGGCTCTTAGATTCCCACATTCATGGTTCTCCTCTGTTGCTGGGCTTTACTGCTTTTCCTCTCCCAGTAGAATTTTCCGTTGTGTCTAACCCTGCATTTAACATACTTACGGCCTTAAAGGGAAAGAAAACATCCCACAATTTCTTTTTTTTTCTGAAAAGTTAAGATCCTGATCCTCTCTTTCATCCCAGACCAAGTTATAAAAAGGAAACATCATTCTGCCTACAAAGTGATGGGTTTTCCTTTTTATATGCAGCCCCCTCACTCCCTGCTCTCCTGGGTAGTGCACTGTGGCTTATCTACCATTACTCTGGGTGTCATTTGAAAGGATTCAGTTCTATTAAAAGTCTGAGATTTTAGAAAGTGGAGAATCACAAAGCTAAATCCTGTCCTCTTCTGTATGACCAATGATAGCACAAGACTTTTGAGAACCTACAAAAAGAAACAGAATATGGCAAGAGAATTGCCACACGCAAAGGTTCTTTTAACTCTTCTATCTGAGTTATTTTATGACTTAGGAAAACAGGGTAGGGTTTTTTTTTTTTTTTTTTTTTTATTTGTGCTAAGTAATCATTTTTATTCTGTAGATTCTTATTGCCAGTTATGAATTTGACTAGTTATAGACATTTTGGGAGTCCCTGAGTTGTGCAAAGACTTAATGCACTTGGCTGCTAACCGAAAGGTTGAAGGTTTGAGTCCACCCAGAGTTTCCAAGAAAGAAAGGCTGGTGATCTACTTCTGAAAAATCAGCCGTTGAAAACCCGATGAAGCACAGTTCTACTCTGACACACATGGGGTCACCATGAGTCAGAAACCAACTAAACGGCAACTGCTTATAAACATTTTTGTTTCAAACTTCCAATGCTTCTTAATATCAGCGTTAATACACAGAACACTTAATCACATGCTAAGCACTAAAGGGAACCCTGGTGGTGCAGCGGTTAAGAGCTTGGCTGCTAACCAAAAGGCCGGCAGTTTGAATATGCCAGCCACCCTTTGGAAACCCTGTGGCAGTTCTACTCTGTCCTATATGGTCACTATCAGTTGGAACCAACTCAACGGCACATAACAACAACAAGCACTAAAGAATAAACAGTTCAGAAATATTTAAAATTATGGGTAGGAAAGATATTCAAAGAAAGAGGCCTAGAATTCCTAAGAGGCATGCCTAAAGTTTTCTTTTTTAAAAAAACAACAACAAAGTGTTATCATGATAGACCTCCATAACTTATCTGACCAAACTTCTCAACGTCAGAACTTCAGAAGGGACTAGAGTTTCAGGTCATAAAGAAAAGTTATCAGGGCTCCATCATTTCAACAGTTTTGAAAAGTTTCGACCTAGAAAACGATACATGGCAAAGAAGTTCACACCGATACAGTACAAAAATGCAAAAATAAAAACAAAAATATTTTTACCTACCAGGATCTAATAGCTAAGGCTATTTGTTATTCTGACCAAATTGTTGAAGACAGTGACTGATAAGTCTACTATGAAGTAACAATGAAATGCAGTTCTGTCCTGTTTTTTTCCTTTGAGTCTTTGGCATGGAAGGACATTCAGTAAATATCAGTAAATGTCAATTGTGTATAATAGTTCAGAGAATGGGCTTTAGAGTCAGACAGCCCTGAATTTGAACTCCAGTTCTACCACTGATTATGTGTGACTTTGGACACATAAAATTTAACCTGCTTGTGTCTCCTTTCCCATATCTACAAAATCAGGACACTAACACCAACCTCATAGGGTTGCTATTAGCACTAAAAGATATGTACTCACAATGAAATCTCATACAACTGTCAAAATAAATGAATACAGTCACACTCAACAATAGGAATGAATCTCAGCATTAAAACATTAAATAGAAAAAGGAAATCCTAAAAGATAACATACAGTATGACTACTTTTTCAATAAAGTTAAAAACAACTACAACAAAACATATTCTTCTCTATAAAAGGAAAACAAAGGAATGATGCCCATAGGGTTCAGGATTATGACTATCTTAGGAGAGGGAAGTAGGGAATGGAATGGGGTCGAGGGAACCACATGGAGTAGTTTATTGTTAAGGTCCTACCTATTTTTAGGGTATGAGATTCATTTTGCTTATTATATTATTTTTTAAAATAAATTAGAGTGGGGAATAAGATCAGCTAGTTTGATAAACAGTGATGCTAAAAACATAAAAATGTGCTAAAGGAAATAATATGTCTTTGAAAAATATAAAATAACAAAAAGCATGTGATGGTCTCTCTGGTACTTTTGATATAAAAAATTCTAGGATTATCTTCAGGCAGGTGCAGTGGTTAAGCATTTGGCTGCTAACCAAAAGGCCGGCACTTTGAATCCACAAGTCACTCCTTGGAAACTCTATGGGGCAGTTCTACTCTGTCCTATAGGGTTGCTATGAGTGGAATCAAGTTGACAGCAACGGGTTTGGTTTTTCGTGGTTAAGAGGCACTTGGTAAATAATGAGTTAGGTGTAGTGAATATTCCCCTAGTGGCTAGAAAGTGTGTGTGCAACTTTAGCAGATGACCAGAGCTTCCAGGAATCCTCTAATGCCCTGGAAGCCTATGTGCACTCCCAAACTCTTGTTCTCTCGCTCCCTCCTTCCCTACCTCTTGACTTCCCTCCCTTTTAAATTTGTTGCTAAGACAAAGCTGAAAACAATGTTAATGTCACTGTGCAATTTTAAAGCATAAAGCTAATGGCCTTTGGAAGTAAACAGAAAATGAATGCAGAACTGCTCATGCTTTCATTTATAACAATAGCAAACGTGAAAAAAAAAGTAATTTTCAAATATATATGTATGAGATAGGTCAGTAAGTAGGTAGGAAGGTTGATAAATAATTGTAATAACAAAATTTCTGTTTTTGCTTCCAATTATTATTATTACATCTTTGGATTTATAATGTTGTGAGATTTCTATTCCTTATGAATACACCAGTATAAAAAGTAGAAATACTAAGTGCTTTACATATGTTAATTTATAATCCTGTGAGGTAAGTTTTATTAGCATCCATTTTATAGATGAAGAAATTGAGGTGCCAAGGGATTAGACATGAAATATTACCAAGGTCACACAGCTGGACTGGGATTTGATCTAATCGCAAAACTAGCACCATTAGCCAGTTCACTAAAGTTGCAATAAAGATGCAATGGAGAAAAAAAATATACTTCACAACATCCAGTCTGCTAATTGTCAAGGTGTTTTGTAAGGTACATGTTAAGTTCAAATAACACAGAGGCAAATCCCTGAAGACTCCATCTCCCTCCAGTGGGGGTTACTGAGAGGTGAGCAGAGATGAAACAGCAAATCATTTGAATATTAGATTTAAACAGTAAAAATCCATTTGCCTTGGCAAGATATTTTCATTTAACTTTTAGTTTGATCTTGTCAATTCAGTGGCAGAAGAGGTTTTCAACCAAAACTATTTGTAGGTGTGTAATGTAAACAGGGAGCCCTTGGTGGCGCAGTGGTTAAGAGCTCGGCTACTAACAAAAAGGCTGGCAGTTAGAAATCACCAGCCACTTCTTGGAAATCCTATGGGGCAGTTCTGCTCTGTCCTGTAGAGTTGCAATTGACTCGATGGCAATGGGTTGTGTTTTGTTTTTGTTTTTAATGTAAACAGAGACTCTGGATGGTGCAAATGGTCAATGTGCTTGGTTGCTAACCAAAAGGTTAGAGGTTTTCCAGTCCATCCAGAGGTCTTGGCAATCTACTTCTGCAAAAACAGCTATTAAAAACCCTATGGAGCACAGTTCTACTCTGACACACATGGTGTCACCATCAATCATAAACAACTCTACAGCAACTGGTTTGGTTAATGCAGACAGTTTATTGGTAAGTACTGTGGACTTATACTTAGGATGCCTCCTCTTTGGTTATGCAGGTGAGCAAGCTGAGCCTGCCTGTCTGGAAGAACGACTAAATTCGCTGACAGACTGTTGGATGATTGCAGGGCAGAGCGGGTGGAATGAATAAAACCTGGACCCAGAAGGTTTTCAGAAGAAATGGTTGCTGAGTCCCAAGAGGTTCTTTCCTTCTTGGTTTTCCTCTTTCTCCTTTTTAGCACCTTTCATACCAGAAGGTTTCTTGCTACCTTCATATTCTACAACCTCAAAGCCTCATGGAGGCTAACATCAGTCAGAGCTCCAATAATCACTGCATTTATGGGAAGATTTAAACAGTAGAGGCTGAGCTTCGGCAGTAAGGGAACATATTCAAACTTAAATTGCTTTTCAATAGATATTGTGTAAACAATGGAAACAAATCTGGGAATAACCTTCCTTCGTGGACACATGCTGAACACATATGCAGCTCTGTTGATAAGGTTGCCATTATTCTAAATAATGAATATTGTAACATTGGAATGACTTTTACTTTCTTTCTCCCCTCCATAAATAGTTGATTCTTTCTTATGCAAAAATCATGTTTCCTTTTGTTAGCATTAATGGCCTTCAATTAAATCATGTGCTTTTATCATATCAATTTAAGGAAGTAATTTCAGCCAAGTTATTTATAGAACATTTCAGTCTGTCTTTCAAAGTCCCCAGTAATTTTAGCGTTTGCTGGTTTGATTTTAATTTATCAGTGTCCTCCCTCAACAGGTGTTGCACAAAACACATGAGCAGCAGAGATTTCCCCTGTACAATGTGTATTTGCTATGCTTAATGTTCATCTTTATATACACAAAGATGTTGGCATATAAGAAATGTAGAGGGTGTCTATAAATTCAAGGGAACATTTAAGTGCACAGTGATACACAGATACATGGGTATAATACTTCATGTACTTGATAAATATTTCATCCCTACCATAAAGAAAGCTTTTTATCAACTTTGATTGTTTTTTTATTACCTTAAAGTATTGCAGTTGTTTCTCCGCATTCATTGTTCCTTCTTTTTCTTGTCTCAGGCAGGAATTGAAGATGAAAAGCTCTGTATCTCTTAGCCACCCTTTTAGCTCTTTGATCCTGACCTCCAGCTGCCTTACCAGGCTTCCGCTTTCAGGAGAGAGCAGGTCACGTGGACTCGACCCACTGTGCCCTGCCATTGTGTCCTGGATCTTCTCTCCTAGGGTTTTCTAATGCAGCCAGTTAAAAAACAACAGCAACAAAACAAAACAAAAAAACATAGATTAGCTTAGGCAACAAAAACACTTCACAGTTTGGTTGATAACAAGAGCCACCAGGAAGGTGACCAGCTGTACTTGCCACCTCACTACTGACATTCAATCCAGATTAGCCCCTTGTTACATTTGGGATTCAAATTCTCAGACAGCCTGTGTTGTTCTAACTACCACTGGGGGCTTAGGGAGATCTCATTCACTTTTGCTTTCTTTTAACAGAAAGGGTATTAGGCCCAAAAGTTTATCGATGGTCACTGATAAAAATTCATTTGAATTCTCAGGACAGGAGTTTACAGTAAAAAAAATCCTCTGCATAAAATTTTCAGGAGATACAGTCTCAGTTTAATCAATATACTAAAGAGGCCAAAAGTAGATTGTGCATGGAGAGTTAAATTCCTTTTCTGCTTTATGAAATGCGATTCCCAAAACTATATGACCGAGGGATTTTAAGAAGGCTTGTCTCTGTGATGCTGCTGTTGATTTTACCTCACCTGGAAACTGTTCAACCCATGATTCTTCCCACTTTGCATTTGTGGTTGCTAGACATTCTAATATATATGTTAGAATAATTTCAGATCCACTGTACTAGAAACCTACTTAGATTAACACAGTGACATGTGGGGTGTTGTGAGGGAGGCCTGTTTTTTTTTTTTTTTTTTCTGTTGAAAACACTATCTTTGGAGAATCAATAGGATTGAATCTCTAATGATGAATTAAACCTACAAAAATAAGCTTTAACACAAATAAAATTAAGTCAACAGACATTAATCTGCTGGGTGGTGTTTGGTAAATAGCATCTTTGTGAGACTGTAACAGAAAAATAGTCTTTCCTGGCAACACCCTTGTATTTTCATGGTGCAAATATTGATAATTTGAAGACCCTCAGTGGAATCCAGATTTAGCTATTGTTTTTATGCTGTAACAAAAGTAGCAGCAGGAGGTGAAATCAATGCCCTTGGAGGGTAGGGTCACAAAAAAGAATTTATTGCCACTTTTTTGTTCTGGAACAGTTTGCAATCATAAATTCTTCATAAACAGAATACTTCAGAGAATGGTCCGTCTTCATAAATATACGACAGAGGACATCAATTTCATTTAATTCACAATTTGTGTCAGCACAGCAGATGCCAATGCCTGCCTTGATAGGGTTGTTTAATATGCAATTGAGACAGAGTAATATGCAGCACAGGGGACAAAATTTCACAGATTAAACTGTACGCACCACTGACATTTCATTCTAATGTATTTCCATTCCACACTGTTCACCTTAGATGAAAGTAATATTAAAAACCATATCCCTCTATTTTACTATTGTTAGAAGTTAAAATCCTTGTCTTTGATTTTTTTTTTTTCCATGCCAGTTAAAATGTAATCATGCCAATTAAAACAGTAGGCCTTGTGGTATTAGTGTGGCACAGGTTTCGTTAAAATCTCCCCTCCACCTCTACTCTCCCCTAAAATCATTATAAAATTCTGCATGTTGTGTACGAATGGCATTTTTGTCAACATGGCAACCATTTTTAAGATATCTAGCTCATAAAAGATAACGATTCTATATATTTTCTTTAATATAATGTTGATTTAAAATTTTGAGGAAGCAATATACATGATATATTTTAAACAATTTTCAGAAAAGACTATTATTAGTTATTTATCAAATTAGTATTAAATACATTAAAATATAATGTAAACAGACTGTTGTTTCATCTATTAAACACAAAGTTCTCATCTCTTTAGTAAAGAAACTTCAAATATCACCATATACTCACCACGTTTCCCCTACATTAGATCAATGGATACTCCTGAATTTAGTAGGTTCTGATTTAAATCACAATATTATAAGGTGAGTGCCACTCATTACCATTAGAAAGTAATGTAAGAACTGGTCGAAGTAAAAACTCTTAACATTTTAAGTTACTTTGCTCAACTGCAGAGTGTAGTGAATTTAGATGAGACAGCAAGGACTTGAATTGCAGTTTTTTAATTACCTAGATTAAACATGGCATAAACTGAACACTGAATTCCTCCAAGACATCAAGGTACATGGAGAGTTTTTTATTCAAAATATTTTTGGAGTTTTTGTTAAATTTTTTTAAGGCAGAAAATTGAAGGCATGCAAAATTATGCTCCATAACTAACACCACCCATGCTAAACTGTTATAATTAATCATTTACATAATTGACAAAATTTAGCTTACCCTTGATTTGAAGTGAAGGTAATTTAGGAGAGAAGTTGATGAAAAAATATAGTTTAACCTCTCTCTCTCAGCTGTCTTGCAACAAAAGGACAGTACTGTCTCCTGCACAGTGCCATCCTGGTCTCTGGGTAACAGAATCTCTATATTCCCTTTTTGCCAGATTCTTGCATCTCAATCTTTGGCTGAGACCCAGCCCATCATTGCGTGAAATGAATTACATGAAAGTTTTTTTTTTTTTTTTGGCTTTTGTTAAAAGTGAGCTGGAAATTGAGGCACAAAAACAGAGGCTGATTTAATTCTGCAATTCAGATTTGGGTCAAATTTGCATCTTTGTTTTGGCGGCTTTAGTGTGACTTGAAAGCTATAGTGACAACCCCACTTTTCATCTTAAGGGGACAGTAAATAGTTAAACAGTGGATGTCTCTAACATGTACCTTCAGAATAAATTCTATTAACATTCATTCAAGCATGACAGTCAGTGTATATCAGATATAGTATATTATAGTTGACTTGGTGCATACCCATAATACATGGCATATTTTACTTACATTTTTATGTATTAAAGAACCAAAATTATTAAAATCTGAGAGGAGACAAGCTCAGAATTAAAAAAAAAAAATCAACAGAAGAGGAAAAGCAGTGTTTTTTCCCCATAATAGCATGAATAGTTTGTTTGAAATGTAGGTAGTGAATTGAAAGAGAGAGATATTTGTGCGTCAAATTAGAAATCAGACAGAGTACTTCACTACACAAAAAATGTACACATAACCTACAAACAGTAATAAAAATGCAAATACCCCAAGCAGTTCCCATTTTTCATTAATTGAATCCACTTTTTCAAGGAGATCATTTGGCAGTAAAACGCCACCTTTCTTCAAAGCTTCAACCTTAGTAAGCAGCTCTGTCTTTTTTGGGTGCCTGATGGACATTTCCACACTGTATCGCTAAAACAAGAGGAGAGAAAAAGGTATCATTAGGAAGAGAGGGTTTCTTAGAAAATCTTTGTGCATAGAGTGTTAAAAGTTTTTGTTTCCAATAAAATTTAAGAAGGGGCTACACTTAAGTGCCTTGAGTAGTTGAGGAATATTGCCAAAAACAGTTTAAACCCTATGATATATATTATATACACATACACAAACATCTGAGATATTCCATTTAGTTGACTAAGAATTATGCCTTTTTAAACTAAAGTTCACTAGCATAGTTGATCTTTAATTTAAGTTGTTCCAAACAGGAAAATATCTGGTCTAGAAGGATTTACTATTAAGTTAATTTTGGTAGTTAAACATTTGGCTCCAGAGTGCTGCCCACCTCTCATCCATGCCCCCAAAGTAGCAATCCCGAAGTGGAACAAATAAAATTATTTTTAAAGATCATGTGACCTTCTTCTTATCCTGTAAGTCTAGTAAATTCCCAGTTAACATTTTGTTTTCATTTTTCTTTTACTTAAAAACTCTGTGGCAACTTGGAGAAGTCCATATAGAGAAAAAAGAAAACGAGTACTTTGGGAATGGTAAGGTTACTAATCTGTGCTTCTTTATGGATTACTATAAAATGTCCCCATGCATCAAAGTTCACTACAGAGCCCTACCCCACAACATACACTGTATTCTGACAAACTGCCAGGTGAGTTTCTCCTAAAAGATGTTTTGCTAGAGATAATTTAAGTGCCATTTAATATGACAGTTACTATGGTGATTCTCTCCAAATAACTCTATTTGGATAACCTGGTGGTGCAGTGGTTAACAGCTTGGCTGCCAACCAAAAGATCAGCAGTTCAAATCCACCAACCACTCCTTGGAAACCCTATGGAGCAGTTCTATTCTGTCCTAGAGTGTCACTATGAGTCAGAATCAACTTGATGGCAATGGGTTTATAGTTAGAAAGTTCTATATTATGAATGGCTATAAATTACTGTAGCTGAATTTTTAAAATGTGTATGTAAAAACATCTCTGAGTAGAAAAACTAGATTCTGGTTAAAAATATTAAACATCTTTTACATTTTTAGCACATTTCTGAAACATAACGGCAATCCCTAAACTTCTTTACTCGGGGCACAAAGTTAGGTCACTCAGGGCCTTGGTAGCATTACCCTTTGCCCTAAATGAACTAAGAGAAGTGCTCTTGTTCTATATAATAAGAAAAGCTTTTGTCTAGGCCAAAATCAGTAAGTTCAAAGCATGCTCTACCAGTTCGGTGATTTTATTCAGCTTATAAATACGATATTACATAAAATCTCAAACTAAAATACAATTGGAAGCAGCTTAAAAGAAAAGAAGTGTGAAATCAGTTTCGGTTAACAGACCTTCAGCATTTGCATGCATATGTTTGCATTCTTTTAGTTTCATATTTTAATCTTTCATTTACACTAAACATGCACATCATTTGTATTATGTAAACTTCTCCAAATGTTAGTCATTTGTGGCTCACAGATCAAAATGTATTAAATGAGGTGATTTAAAGCATTTCGTACTATTAGTGAATGTTGCTCAGGGTGTCAGAGTACCCAAAGCTGCGTGACTATGCATAATGAAAAAAATCAAGGGTTGCTTTAGAGCTCTTTCAGAATTTGGCCCGTGATACATGGGAAATTCTGACTGCATTTCCTAATGGCAGGCAATTACTAGGCCCACATTACTCCAACACTTAGGAACCAGACTGTCCACTCGAGTTTTCTGGACTCAACACTCAACAAGTATTCTAGAAAGATAGAAGGGTTTTATTTGTCAGAGTGATGACTGGAGGAGAGGACAGTCTGCTTTATGTAATCAGATTTCCATCTAAAGATGATGTAGCTAATAAAGATTTACTAATTAATTCTGTAAGACTTTGACATAATATTGAGGGAACCAGCATTTCAGGCAGGCAGAGGAATCCCATTCAAACTCTTTACTTATGCCACATGAATTAATGGACAGAGGGAGTCCTCTGGCTGTGTCACCTGGGAGCAGCGTTGACCAGTTATCATTTGTACTTGTGACAAGCTCATCTCCCTTCTAAACCCCAAATGTGAATGGCTTCTACACAGCAGACCAGTTGAGAGAGAAAACAGTTTAGATGTATTCCATAAAAATGATAAGTCTTGTAATAATAAGAATATAAAAAGCAATTAATTTAATTTTAGACATAATAAAATAATTTTCTCTGTGAAATGTGGTACAAATAGTCACTGCAACAGCTATTAGAAAAGGTTATTAAATTTAAAAGCTTGTCTTTATGTATGCTCTGTCTTTGTCACCATGTAACCTACTGTATAAACAGCTTGATGAAAGATGTGATTGATGGACAATGCCTTCAAACTATAAAAGCTAAGAGAATCCAGTTAATTGTTAGACATATTGGTATGTGAATGAAAGGTACTAGAATGTCATGTAATTTAAGGTGAAAATATTTATTTTAATTTTTGAAGCACCCTGAAGGTTGAATCTGATATGATTTAGGGCTTAAAGCTGTGTATGTAATAATGTCACGAGTTATATTTTTGTTGACCCTAATAGTTCTTGCTCTTCTCTCTCCACCATCTTTTCAGAAACATTAGAGGGGGAAATCAGCTGCCAGCTCTATCAGTTCTCTGCCTTCCTATCAAGTAGGGCTACTTTACCCTATAGTGAGAGGATAATTTAATCTTCATATTCATTCCACCCACAGCAGTAAGTGAGCAAAGGCTGCCCCATTGTGTCCTGTAGTCTGGGGATGTTATGATATAGACTACTCTTCAATAGCCAAAAACGAGATTAGCAAAGTTAAAGTCAGATGGCTTTTCTTGAGTGCTAAGGTAAATAAGCATCCAGTATTTAATTTCCCCATAGCACCTGCTGTGGGCCTCTCTGTCTAGCCAAAAATAAAATATACTCTATTGAAAGGGCATATTTACATTATTAAGTATATTTGCTTGGCCAATTCAATTTTGACTAATGAAGCCTCCTAATAGATATGTGCATGATCTAAATTAAAAACACAGGCCACTCTTATTCTAAATACCATACATCTTATATATATATAACATTTATATATATATATATGACATATTAAAAAAAGGATTAAAAATAATCACGAACACAAGTTTACTGTTTTAACTAAGAACTGAAGAATTTTTTAGAAAATTCTAATTCAGCGCTTACTTTTTAAAAGCAAAATGCTAAAACTGAATTACAAAACAAAGCCAGCAAAAACAGGGATTTCTGAAATAAATATACTCAGAAATGCATGAAGACTTGATTGAGATAACTTTTTTTGACAGTTATGCTAAAGGATCCCCCCCAACCTTTTTCTTTCTTTCTTTTTGTTAAAAATCACACCGAAAATTCTGCCCAAATGGAGACTGGAATAATGCCTTGAAACAGTGTTAATTGTCACCATGGAAACCAGAAGAATAAGCCATTTTGAAACTGGTATAGAAGGCACACATTGAGCAACTCAAGCATTTTTCTGCCTCCCTCAATGTTAAAGAACAAGATGCCTTGTCACTGAGAGGTCACAGAAAGAAAGCATCATGAAAGAGTTGTAGATGCTCACTGTCTAGTAAATAAAAAAATAAAAAATAAACTATCTACAGCTAATGCTGTAAGACTCTACCTAGTGAATCTTTTTGAAATAGAAAGATCATCAAAAGCTGGCCAGGACTGGGGGATGGATTCCACCTAAGCAAAACTTCAGGGGTATATTATGTGAACCTTGCCCTCAAAGCTCCCTGGGAATTCTGCTGTTGTAATAAAACTTCAGAAGAGGAAAGAAAAAAGGCAGCATGATGGAATTCAAAATAATGCTCTAAAAGCACACAGAGAGATTAAGACATCCATTGTAAGACTTTTGTATGGTGCTTCTGTTGGTTATGCTGAAAAGAGACCAGACATTGCTGAATGGCGAGTGAAGCTTTGGCTACGAGAAACGCAAGAATTAAAACACAGCATTTTCTAGATTATTAGAAAGGGGCTGTCGGAGTCTGTGTCATCAGGGTTTGAGTATTCACGTCTTGCACCATATTGCTTTACTGGGTTCATGTTAGGAAAATTAAAACAAGAAAAATGATGTAGCTATTGTAATGACAAGTGTGCATATCTTTCCTGGTGCAAAGTAATACAACAAGCAGCTGTGTATATAAGCATAACCTCTCTTCCTCCATACACATATGACAGACACATAGCCATAGAGAGATGGCTGGAGAGATATACACCAAGAAAATAAAATCTATCCTAGTCTACTGACAAGAAAACATATGCTAGGAAAACACCCAAACACCCAACTACTGGCAAAATTATGTGTGAAAACAGGCATTTTTGCACAAAAATGCAGTGATGTGTTTGTCTATGACTCGTATATTGTGTTTTCTGGCTAGTGTTTGCCCTCCTCATGCGAGGCTTCATGGTGGCCCCTCAGCAAGTCCATGCCTAATGCCATTCAGTGGTGAACAAAGAGTCTTTTTATACAAAAGTCCAGGGTCCACAGCTCGACTATACATGCCGAGTGCAGGAATCTGCCAGGGGCCAGTCTCGCCTTCACAGCAGCTCTTGTGCTGTCCTCTTTTTCAGAACACCAGCATCCGGCGTCTCACAACACATGTGATGTTTCATATGGAGCCCATATCACCAACACTTGGGGAAGACGTTCAAGATTGAAGAAGAGGGTTCAAACCCAAGACAAATAATAGTCGTTACTTCTTGCAAACTCCTTGTATTTTACCACTAGCAATTTATGGCGAATAATTGGACAGAGAAATTATAAAGACTCCTACAATTGTCCTTGTAAATTAATAATAGGCTTTCTTGATTGGGATAAATTTGCTGCTGAGCCTTCGGAAAAATTAAAAAGTGCAATGTCATTTAAAATTGCCAGAACTCGCACAGCAAATTACATCTGAGGTTAAGAATTGAGTTTCCCCCCTCTCCTAGCTTATTCCATTTGCATGATCTGGAAATCACATTATATTGGTCATGTATTGTTAAT